TCTTCACTGTTGTATTCTTCTTCTGATATTACTTCGTATGATGAGTATGATGAGTCAGAGAATTGATCGTTGTTGGTGTTTAGTGTGGTATGTGGATCATAGGGGTTTAGAGATGTTGGAGATGATGCCACATAAGAATAGTCTTCTACATCGGTCACTGTATATCCGGCTTGCACGGTTCTGCAAGGGTTAGCAACAATCAGGTTGGACATTAGAGAGTTGTTTAATTCTATCCCTTCCGGGTGTCTGATAATTTCTATTTCATAATTAATCTCATAAATTTACCAAATTCTTTGCTTGGAAAATCTAAATTATTTTTCTTTAAACTATGAACATCAAGAGATATAAAAATTACTGTTGGTTCTACATCAAGTAATAAATGCTCTACAATGTTCGAAAATTTCTGTTTTGTTAATTTCCTAAAATAAATAAATATATATATATATAAATATTACAGTATTATATGCATTATGTAGGATTATGCAGGGCTAAATATTTTTAAACCTGCAGTGCAACTAATACTTTATGCATACTAACCACACTAGTTTCATTATCATAATCCATTTTTTTTATACCCATAATTGCTTTTTTTTGTTATACTTCTTGTTCTTTGTCACTTAATTCTTGAAGCACTTGTTCTCCATCAATCAATAATTGAAATTCTGGTTCTTCATCACTCAACAATTGAAATTCTGGTTCTTTATCACTCAATAATTGAAATTCTGGTTCTTCATCACTCATAATTGAAATTCTGTTCTTCATTGCTCAATAATTGAAATTCTGGTTCTTTATCACTCAATAATTGAAATTCTGGTTCTTCATCACTCTCATTATGCCGAATAGCATTTTATTTTCAATTTCCTGTAAAGCTGCCTCAATAATATTGATATCATGTGTTTTTATATTGTTTTACAAAAAAGGAAGACATGCAAAATATTTTGGACAATGTGGACAATAGTGTTGCATAGTAAAGTACAATTATCTGTTAATTAACATTTTAAACATAATAATATATAAAAGAATTTTTTTTTTTGAAACAATTTGGCAATCTTGCCTCTACTTTATTAGGCTTGTAATATTATACTGAGAAATATTACAAATTTTTCGAAAAACAAGTCTCTAAAGGTTAAGTTTTAACAATGCCTAAATTGCAAGTATTAGCTCACCTAGCTCTTTGTGACCGAAGTCCAAATTACTCATGTGTGATCTGCTATAAGCAGAATTCTTCTCCATAATATTCACTCCTGCAATTGAAGAAAATAAAACTTCACCAGAAGGTTTTTACTGGCCCATCAAGACTACCTATTTCTTCTTTAAAACTTTTTCTACCTAGATCTGGGCAGACTAGTTAATCTCTTACTTTTCTATAAGAAAAAAATATATGCCACATTTACGAAACAAAAAAAACTATATCTAGGAAAAGAAAGAAAAAAACAGAAAAAAAGAAAAAAAGACATAACTGAAAAAAAAATAAATCCTAAACAGTATTCTAACATAATAGGAAAAAGATGAAAAAAGCAAAAAAAAGAGAATTGGATAGTCCTGATGAACATACCCAAAGAAAGAAAAAGAAAAAGAAAATACACTATTATAACCCATATCAGGTGAATATAAAATTATATAACAAATACAACATTTGTATATCCCTGTTGTAAAGCTTTGCCTTAATATTCGATTCTTCTTTCTGAACTTCTGAGTGACTCCGAATAACTATATCATGCCCGTTCTAATTCATATCTTAAGCTAGATGTTGCCACCATTTGTAGACCCATATTTTAAGCCACCTGCTGCCGTTATTAGAGGTTCTATGCCAAGGGCCTGATCCTAACATGCCGTATCTGTAAAAATACATGGTTGCAATTCATTAGGTTGTCCAAATTTAGAAAGTCACAATGTCGATCTTTTGGAGGGAGTAAGCCAAATCCCCACTTTTTTGAAAAAAATTTGGAAGACCAATAGGGAAGCAAGAGTGAGTAGAGAGGAGAACTACTTATCCAAGTAAAAGAGTATAGTACGGCTTGGAAAAACTAAAATTTTATTATATTCTTTGTGTTTTTTGTTAACAGTCAAGTAGTTTCGTCGACAAAGTTGGGCTTTACCCATACTCTACCAAGATTTTATATACAAGGGTGCCACCTCTGGGTTTATTGTTACCTTGCCAGTTAACTTGTATAGTAACGCTCTGGTTTGCATGCCAAACATCTTTTAGAGGAGTCTATCGAGTAAACGTTGACCTCTAGACAAACCACTACATCGACTATGACTCTTCAACAAAAATTGTTTTTCTGTTAGTGGGAAATTTTTGGTTTAAGTGATCATTGAAAAGAGTGTCTGGTGATACAGTCATACCTCCATATAATCACCTCCTATATAATCACAAACTCTATATAATCACATAATTTTATATAATTATTTTTTTTAATAATAAAAATACCTCTATGTAATCACAACCATAGTACTATCACTATCACATTTTTTTAAAAAGTTTTTTTACTAAATCATTAATAAAAATACCTCTTTAAAATCACAAATTAATAAAAATTTTTATTTAAAATTTACAGATCTCAAGAATTTAAATAAAAAAATTTTTATTAAATTTAATCAAGCAGTTATTAAGATATCCTTGATTAAAATTTTAAAATGTCTATCAAATAGAAGCTGCGCCAAAATTTTTAACAAAACTTTGATCAAGAATATCTTAGCGACTGCTTGATCAAATTTGATGAAATTTTTTTATTTAAATTCTATATATCTTAAGAATTTAAATAAAAAAAGTTTATTAAATTTGATCAAATAGTTGTTGAGATATTCTTGATCAAAGTTTGGAAAAAAATTTAAAATGTCTATCAAATAAACCAAATAGAAGCTGCGCCAAAAGTTTTAACAAAACTTTGATCAAGAATATCTTAGCGACCGCTTGATCAAATTTGAAGAAAATTTTTTAATTAAATTCTATATATCTCAAGAATTTAAATAAAAAAAAGTTTATTAAATTTGATCAAATGGTTGTTGAGATATCCTTAATCAAAGTATTAGAAAAAATTTAAAACATCTATCAAATAAACCAAATAGAAGCTGCGCCAAAACTTTTTAACAAAACTTTGATCAAGAATATCTTAGCAACCGCTTGATCAAATTTGATGAATTTTTTTTATTTAAATTCTATAGATCTCAGGAATTTAAATAAAAAAAGTTTATTAAAATTGATCAAATGGTTGTTGAAATATACTTGATCAAAGTTTTAGAAAAAATTTAAAACGTCTATTAAATAAACCAAATAGAAGCTGTGCCAAAATTTTTAACAAAACTTTAATCAAGAATATATTACAGTTGGGGATATTACCAAAAATGGACAATGTCGATCGCACCATTTGTAGTAATAAAACATTGATTATATAATTCTAGCAATTTCTATAAGAACATTCATGTGATTGGCTAATTAATACACAGTTAATATACTGCCAATACTGTAGACATACCGCCAATACTGTAGTACTTCTTATTCTTTCGTATTACTATTCTATTCAAATCCTTCTGATCTTTAATAAGAGGTACCAAATATATAAGCTAATTTCAAACAATGCTGGTTTGAAATATGTAACGTTCGTCAGTCAGATCTCGAAACTGTAACTCAAATAACTGAAACGAAAAGATAAGTCAAACATATTTATCGTATCTGATCTTGAAGCATTTTACTTTCAAGAATTATTCATTGAGATTTGCATTTAGATAATACTGTAATATTTTATAATTTATTCAATGTATATATTACTGATTTAGGTCTTTCTGTATCATCTGATACATTTGATATTGAACAAAAAGGTAGGATTAATGGTGTTATACCATATAGTTTCAGAGGTTTTAAAGGAAATTTATTTACTAAAGTGGCAAATATTTACAGCCTCAGTATTATTATGATGGAGTTAGTAGCAAAGAAGAGTGCTTTATGGTGAGTTTCTAATTCCGAACTTTTAACTTAATTCTAAAAATTAGATATATCTATGGTCTAGTTTTCTGGAAAACCTTGTTATGTAAATAGTTTTTGTATATATTTTGGTTACTAATTAATTATCTCTTGATAAATTAGTTAATCTCTTGAAACTTATTTAATCGAGTTTAAATCCCAAAATCGTTTTAATAAAGACAACGACAACAAATATTTGTTATGAAGTTGGATATTGGCTTGAAGAGATAGAACAAGGTAATAATCAGAGATCAAGAAGCAGTTTTTTGAAGTGCATAATATTAATTAAAGATTAGAATCATTAAATCACTTAAATGATATGTATACCAATAAATTGATCAATACTACACAAAACTCAATTACTGAATTATGAAAATTTTGTATTTTATAAATTTATATTTTATTTAAATAAAAAAAATTGACTCATTTAAAAAAATTATACAGTGCATTTTTTAAATTTAACAATTATAAACCAAATAAATTAATATAAAAAATGACCCTGAATCTTGAAGTTCAAAATCGCCAAAATATGACTTTCAATTAATAAGCACAAGTTTAGAATTTTAATTCGAATTAGCATGTTCTACTTCACTTACTTCACTCCCTGGCATCACTAAATTTTCAATATAATCACAATTATCAGATTCATTATTTGAATTAATTAAAGATCTTACCTCTTCCAATATGATTATCAATTCACTACGTTTTTTTGATTTAATTCCATGATATTTTTTTTGAATGCTTTCATCTGAATATTCAAAAAGCATTTCTATTTTGCAAACAATTTCTCAGTTTGTTATAGACGCTTCACTTGTTTGTACAATAGCTTTCTGTTTTGTAATCAGGATTTGCTTAAATAAAGGAGCTAAGCTATTATTAATTAGTAATGTATTCATGTCGAGCTTGTTTAGCCAAATTAGTAAAATCTATTAGTTATAAACTTAATTCATATTCCTCTCCCAAGCTTTTATAAACAGTTTCCAAGCCCATTGTAGGATTAGAGAAATTATCTTTTCTTAAACGAGCCTGAAACCTCTGGCATTCCATAATTGCTTCTGGCCGATTTCTTGGACCACTTGTTTGAGAATCGCTGTACCCAATTAAGTTGAAGAAATTATTCCGCAGCTGAATTTAATAAGTTAATTTATATAAATTTAAATTTCAAATAAAATATTAAAAATAATTATGTATATACCTCAAAAAATTTTTTACAATTTCGAGCAGCAATCCTCCAATGCCGCATTTGTGGGATAGGAGGTATTAGCGTTTTCAGAGCCTTATTAATTTCTTCCAAAATTGCATCTAGCCCTTGATATTGGTTAAAGAATCCAGACCGAGAAACTACACAATTTTTCTCTATAATATCTCTTATCGTCGGGTCAAGCCGCAGAAATTGTATTTCATCAGCAATTTCGATATGACGATATATTGGATATCTTCATGCAGACTATATTGGAGAGAAGACTCTTTTTGCAGCTCTCTTCAATAATGGAATATTTTTTCTAATCACTGTTCTGTAATTAACAATAGCTTGAAGATAAATAAATATCTATTTAAAAGAAAAATCAATTAGTTAAAAATTGTGAATATACGAAGCAATATTGAATATTACCTGTTCGAATTTTACTTAATAAAGAGGATTATTTTGCATTTTTACTTAGTACAAATATTTCTCAACTGACGGAATAGGGTGACTTTTAACGTATAGCCATATTAGCTCCATAGCCGAAGCTTGGTGATAAATATTACAGACCGAGTCCCACGACTTGTGATAGTCATAATATTTTTTAAAAAAATTAAGTTGATTTTCGGTCTTATATCCCTGGAATATTGCGAACTGTTTAAAATCGATATTCCTATTTTAAACAATTAAAAATTTAAATAAATAAACAATAATAATAAGCATTTAAAAATAATATAACATACCAATTTAATTTCACATATGCTTTAAGCATATTCATTTCCTCATGCAGTTGCCCGGGAACAAGAACCAACCATGAATACTTGTCTCTTATTTTGGCCATTCGATGATATGGAATGCCATCACACGTTATGACTGTCTACTTACGAGAACCATCCTTAATATCTGCAATATTTTCAATGTGAAGAAGAATTTTTTTAATATTAGCAGTTGTATTGGGATTAATATCAAGAGGGGCGAGAACAAAAATTTCAGGGATGTTAACTCCTTGATCAGCATGCACTTTCTGAGTAATGCTAATTCTCTGTGTGTTGGATTGTCGAGCTTCCGTTTCGAAATTATATGGTTTAAACAAAACCAGGTTGTCTTTTATTGTTATATTCTCAACTTCATCTTTTTTTGACATTTCTGTCAATGTAGGTAGATGGGATTTACATTTAGGACAAACTTGATTTTGGTTATCGATATTTTTTTCTTTACAACTTGGGCATTCTTTATTACAATGATTACTTGAACCTAATTTAGATACAAGCAAATCAACCATGTTAGTTGTAGATAACTTTTCTTTATATAATAGATCAAGTATTTCAGAAATATAAGTATACAATTCTTGATCTATAATTTCTTGCATTTTGGGTGTAATATCGAAAAGGCTTTCGCATTGTGTTTTATTAAGTAAACTAAAAGCCCAAGGCATATCTGTATGTTGAATAAAATTTTGAGAGTTCATATTAAAAGCAACAAAACTGATGACAATATGGAATATAACCATATTGAGCTCTCAATCCAAATAATTTTTTTGCCCCCTTTGTTCGTTATCGAATGCCAAAAATAAAAGGCTTTTCGGTAAAGCTTCTTCTTTTTCACATAATCCGTCTAACCAATTCTGGAAACTAGAATAACTCCCCGAGCTTGTGATATGATTATCAACGTTGATAATAGTTTTTGACCTTGCGATGAAATATTTGATAGCTGATGCCAAGAGACCCACTTCTGACACATATTTCCCGTGTCTTAATCTATATACTAAATCAACAGCCATAGCCCTTTTAAAAAGCTTTTTGGCACCTTCGGAACCTGTATCAAAATTATTATTAGTTAGTGTTTCAATAAATTTTACAACAACTGGGTTACGTTGGCTTAGCTATGATTGTGGAGTATAATTTAATAGATTTTCTAGAGAAAATCTATTATTATTTCTAATGAGAGCCTCGACATCACCATATAATGATTCTCGTTTGATTAGTGCAATATCAATAACAGCTTGGATACGCTTACACTGATTGTCATAGCAAGAATTCCACTATTCAGTTAGTTGCTTGTTTGCTTCATACTGTTTTTGATATGCTTCAAACTATATTTGATATGCTTCGAACTGGTCTTCATATAACTCTTCTAGCTGAGTTGTCACTTGATGACATTCTTCGAGTTGCAAGTTTAGTCTGGATATTATCCTGTTTTTATTTTCCACTTGTTGCTGTAATTCTGTAATTACAAATCTATTATTTTCTACAATTCTTTCAAGCTCTGACAAATAGCATAATATGTCGTCGGCGATTATTTCATCATTATCATAACTAATATCAAGCTGGGATCTTTTACTAGCACTAGAAATACCTAAAAGTTGTTGGTAAAAGTAATCATTAGCTACAATTTGATTATAATGATTTATACAAATAGAATATTGAAAAATTCTCTGTCTCTGAGTTCCGGTATTAAATTTTGAAAAGCTTTGAGCTTTTTAGCTGCCGCTAAAGCATTGGCATTTTTCTTATACCCTGATCTTGACATGCCGCAAACGCTTAATCCCTGATTATTGTAACTACTAACTAGATCAAGAAATATATACGGAAGTTCTTTGGCATTTAGTTGCTTGGCTGGCAAAGACTGTAACATTGTTCTGTTAACTAGTATTTTGAAAGAAAAAGAGATTAACGTTAGTTTAACAGTATTTAAATACATATTTTTACGAATTTTCATGCTTCATTTACCTTTTTTTAAAAAAGAGATTATAAATGGATTTTTATAGATTATTACTCTAGAGGCTTTTTTGTAGAATTCTATATATCGTTCAAGTATAATTAGATATTGCCAAAATGCAAAAATTTTGGCTTTAAAAGTGACTGTCAAGAGCCAATAAAAATTTGCGGATCATCAGTAGATTATTCCAGAAACATTCTAGAACCAAAATCTATTTTTGGTAATATCCTCGACTATATTAGCAACCGCTTGATCAAATTTGATGAATTTTTTTTTATTTAAATTCTATAGATCTCAGGAATTTAAATAAAAAAAAGTTTATTAAAATTGATCAAATGGTTGTTAAAATATACTTGATCAAAGTTTTAAAAAAAATTTAAAACGTCTATCAAATAAACCAAATAAAAGCTGCGCCAAAATTTTTAACAAAACCTTGATCAAGAATATATTAGCAACCGCTTAATCAAATTTGATGAATTTTTTTTTATTTAAATTCTATAGATCTCAGAAATTTAAATAAAAAAAGTTTATTAAAATTGATCAAATGGTTGTTGAAATATACTTGATCAAAGTTTTAAAAAAAATTTAAAATATCTATCAAATAAACCAAATAGAAGCTGTGCCAAAATTTTTAACAAACTTTGATCAAGAATATCTTAACAACCGCTTGATAAAATTTGATGAAATTTTTTTTATTTAAATTCCATATATCTCAAGAATTTAAATAAAAAAAATTTTATTAAATTTGATCAAACAGATGTTGAGATATCTTTGATCAAAGTTTTAAAAAAAATAGAATTTAAAATTTGTAAATAAAAAAATTTATTATTATTTACCTTTTTAAAATCACATTATTTTAATTATTTTATATTGTGTGATTATATAGAGGTAATTTTATTTAATCACCTCTTTATATAATCACCAGAAAGTGCTAGACAAAATGGGTGATTATATAGAGGTATGACTGTACATATAATTAGCTTAAATTATTACGAAGTGTTTTTTTGCCATCAAAATATTAATATATTCTATAAAGTCACGAAAGGTAAGCAAGCAATAAAGTTATCAAATATTTCAAATAATAATACGTAAGCATCAAATCGAATATATAGATAGCAATAGCAACAGATATTATAATAGCAATTTAGGTAAATTTAGGTTTTGTATTAGATTCATCATAAGCTATATAGTAATTTACCATGAAAAATTCGGTTGCTATACTTACAAATTATTATATAGCATACTTAGCAAAGAAAAATTCTAGGACTACTACTGGTAAATAATTTAGATAGGGTTAAGTTAGTTTGTATTGGGCTTTTGTAATTTGTATAGTAATTTATCGTAAAAAAATTCATTTACTATACATACAAAACTATCGTGATATGATATCTGAGCCAAGACTGAAAATAATTTGTAGTCACTGGTAAGTTAATTAGATAAGGTTAAAGTTAGATTTTTATAATTTGTATAGTAATTTACTATAAAAAATTCATTTACTATACTTACAGGACAATCGTAATAATATATTTAAGCTAACTACAGTCGTCCTCTCATATAATTACTCCCTATCCCTTAAATTGTAACACAGACAAATTTGCCTGCGAAGATTTTTACTAATTTTTTTAATATTTAAATTTTTTAAT